GTTGAACTATTATTTGTATTGATTGATTTTTTAAAAAAAATTCTGCTCTTCCTCTAGATGGAACACAAGGATCTTCCTCCTCCTCCCAGTTATCCTCCCAACGGCTACTGGAGGTAAATCAGACTAAGAGACAGTAACTGGTTCAAATCCCATGAGGCATGAAGTTCAGCGCTGGTGTTATCTAACACATTAACCATTACAGCACACTGGCTCTTAATGTGGTTCCATTTACATAAATCTTTTGTTGAGCTTTATGTTCCAAGCTGTTAAACACAGTAACCGTTCTGTATGGTTGTATGGTTTAAAAGGTGTGGGGGGGTTGAGTTTATGTCAGCCTTAAACCTAAATGCATAAAATTATAAGTTGTGGATTTAAGAGCTGCTTCATATAAACTCACAGCTATCCATTTACCATGTGGTAAGAGCTAGCTATAGTGGTCATGCCACCATGTGCTAAACTGTTTCATCTGTGGTGTCTGCATATGGGGAGAATTTTACCAAGCATCTACAGCCCATTACAATTTAGGAAAGCAAGAGGGTATACAGGTATGCATGGAGATGATGGAGATGGGGCAAACCTATTCACTGCTATTTTAATAGGCCATCGCATCTGCATGTGCACAGCTGGTAAGCTGTGTAATTCCTCAGGTTCCATGCTAAAACCGGACTGATCAATAGGCACAATACATATACATAAAGTGGGGAATTATGAATAATCACACCTAGAGACACCCAGGGAGTGGATCATTTACCTTGGAACAATCCCCATGCTAACAGACTATGAAAAAAGCATACATTCACAAGAAGGATGTATAGATGACAAGACACAACTGAAGTTAGGTCTAAGCAAATTATATTTAAGAAATATGGCAGTTCAGATGTATCCTAAAGGGGGGACTTCTTAAGTGCAGCTGCTCCTTTCAAATGGACCAAAGTTGAGAAAGAGCTAAAATCTTCTAGGATGTGGAACATCCAGCCTGTGGGGGATCTGCATCTATGCTTTGGCAGTTAGCTCCAATCCTCCAGAGCAGGGATCCTCAAACTTTTTCACCAGGGGGCCAGTTGAAAGCTGCCAGTGCTGGGCGTGGGCCAGAAAGCTGGTGCCAGGGGTGCTCGCAGGTCAGGGTGGGGGCGGCATGGGCAGGCACGGGTGCTGAGGTGGGGGCGGGGCATGTGACGAGGCAAGGTGAGGCAGAGGCAGGGGCAGGCACACACCGCAAGACTGTTTTCTCCCAGCAACCAAACTGCTGCCTCCCCACATGTGGGGCGAGGTGGGCAGCAGCACGTGCGGACATGGCGGGTCAAAATGGGCATGGCGGGCCGGATCCAGTCCCCAGGCCGTAGTTTGAGGACCCATGCTCCAGAGGAAAGGGATGGCCTACAAGCTTCATTGCCTGTGGTAGGGTATGTTTCTGTTGGCATCCAATGTTAGGTCAGAGATAATGGCAGGAATGTGGTCACTAGGCTCATGGCTTTGCACAGTTGCACACCTCCCCGCAACGTATGTGTGCTGTACAAAACTAGGGACTCAGCCAGCACTGCTGTGTGGGGCAGGGTGGGGCAGGGGACACAGCAACTGTTCCTCCTAGCAGCAGCCAAGTGGCTTGGCATGGCACTGAAAGGAGCCCGTCCTCTTCCACCTGCCAGCAGAGGGGATGCTTCTGTGTTGGATTGCCATGTTTCTCTCAGTATGGGAAAAAAATGGCAGGGTAGTATCAATGGCATGACTACAACCACTGATATCACCTGGTCCTTGGAGGGTCTGGTATAATGAAATTTGGTTCTGCACCCCATTGCAGTGGAGCACCTTGTTCTACTCTTTTAAATGCCAGTAGTCCAAGCTGTCTTTAACCTCGCTGATGAAATGCCATATACTGACATGTACTGATAGTTTAGTTACTGGACTGTATACTTAAAGCCATGTCTTAATGCTTGTTCCTATTCAATAATCTTAATGAGGTACAGTTTCTTTCTTGACTGCAAAATGAGGCCATGTTTCCTCATGCAATAGCAGTGACTGCTGGTTCCATGCACCACTGGCCTAAGGCCTGGATTTACAAATTTCACTAATATGTGAAGAAATTTAAGCTGATGAAACTCTAGCAATATTTTCCTGCTTTCCCAACCCTTCTCATGTGTAAAAAGCATTCTGTCCTGAGATGCTAAGAGTGGGAGCTGGGGAGCTTACCATCAGTTATACTAGGATTCACAATGTAAGAACACTATTCTGATGTTGCTATCATGCAAGAAGGCTGTAAATAAAGCAGGTCAGAGGAACTGCAGTAGCAGCTGGTGCTAACACCTTGAAAGACAAAGAGAAAAGGCATGGAAGTTGTCTAAAAGTGGAACATTTTGTGTGTTCAAAACCTTGGAAGGAAAAGGATTATACATAAGCAATCCACTTATTAGATCTTGGAAAAAGCAGAAATCCAATCCCTTTTCCTGGGATAATGTGAAAAAGCAGAAGCATTTATCTTCAGTGCTTACCAGCACCCTCATACCACTGAATGGCTCTGCTCTTCATGCCATTCCAGAAAAAAATGGGCATTCCAGGAACATCAAAGACTATCCCAAGTCCATTTGGACAGGTGGCAAACCTATTTTGGGTACCAGCAGCTACCCCATAACTCAGGGATGTAAGTGGCCTAAATGTTTTGTAAGATTGTTTGAATGATGTTTCAAGGAACGTGAAAATAAACTCTTCTTTCTCAGAGCATCATAATCCAGCAAATAGAACACCAGAAAACAGGACTTTAAAGACTGACTGTGACAAACATTTTCTTCAAAGAACATTAGACACTGACCTACACACAGAACTGGGACACAAAATATCTGGGGAGGAGGAGACAGGAATAGTTGCCTGTTCTTTGTACATGGAAAATCCATTAGGCTAAGTTTACACTCTCACAAGAAATCTAGTGAGTTAATGAGGAGTGCCAGGAACCAGCAGGAGACCATTTTCACTCAGCACACATTATGTTACACAAGGCTATTCAGTTTTGAAACAAAATAAAATCAGAGTTCAAAAACTTTCCTTGATCATAAACAAATATTCACTTCCTTACTCACCCAAATAACCTATTTGCAACATGTAGAGGATCCAGCCAAAATCTCATTACAAGTTATGCGATTTAAGTTAGTTCTGATTAACTTGTCATGTTAAATTCAACAGGACTAAAGGTGCAATCCCTTTGCATGTTTAGGCAAAAGAAAATCCTACAACTCCCAGAATTCCCCAGCCAACAGCAGGTGGGGAATGCTGGGAGATGTAGGACTTTCTTCTATCTATAAATATTATAGCTCTATTATACCACTATGTAAGTCTGTTCGTTATTTGATATATTGGGACAGATCTTGAAAAATGAAGATATGTTCCAATATATTAAAAAAAAACTTAATGTATTGTACCTTTAAGGTATGGTGTCCATCCTTACATTACCAAGAAAGTAATCTTGCCAAGCCCAACTGTTGATAAGACCATAAAACATATAGCTACCAAAAGCCGGGGAAATGTTTACATCCTGTGGTTCATTCAAAGAATTTGCCCCCAAAAGAACCATTCTTACCCATTGTTTCCCATAAACAGTTAATGCAGAAAGGTGGTTTTTATTTCACAGCTCCTCACAAATACTTTGTTCTTCCTCAGTCCAGTCTGAGAAAGTCGAAGTGTCTCACATGCATTAATAAATTAAGTCTCAGTGCCCTTGCAAGAGAAGAAAGTATTCTTTTCTCCCTAAGTTGAAGTGATAAAACTGAGCAAAGAGAGCTTGCCCTAGATCAGGGAAGACTTTTCTATATACACAAATGGAAGAATGCCTTCTATTCTTCAGTTTTAGACCTTGGAACCCTTATTTTCATCAACAGTGCCATTATAATCATTGTCCCCAGGAGGAAGTTTGGGTTTTTGTTTGTCGTTACCCCATAACACATACATAACTTTATTCTGCTGAAATGAATTTCAGTAACAGTAAACACTGTTTAGTTACAGAGATGGCACTATTGGCCCCACAGATATAGGCCTAGAGATATATTGACCAAACAAATGTAAACAGCTGGAAGCATTGGGGGGGGGGGAAGAGAGAGAGAGAGAGAGAGGCTCTTTGGGAGCCCCCCCTCCCCCATGAGTCATTGCACAATGCAACCTTATCTTTTTATGAATGGCTTCTGTCACCAAAGCCGGAGGAGGGGCTGTTAGAAAGAAGAGGGGGAACTGGAGGCAGGGCTGATTAGCACTAAGGATTGCAGCTCGTGATTAATTGGGTGATTAAAACAATGGGTGTTCATCGCTGGACTGATCCTGCGGCTCCTATCTCTCACATACAGCCCCTAGCACACAGTTACATCTGCCAATATGATGCCAGAAGCTGATCGCCAGATGTACTCAGCCTAAATTTATCCACTCACCACCACCTTTTCTATAATGAATGAGATGTAGTGGTAGATTAAGTCACCCTGAGCCTTATGAGAGAAGCTCGGGAAAAGGAATCTCAACAGCTCTGCAGAACATTTCCAAACAGCGTGCATTTCTTTTACAGGACTTCACTTTTTACAAGTCCAAACATACAACCACCACCAGCCTCCTTCTCGCCAGAAGGAAAATTACTCCTACATCACTTTCTTAGGAGCAACTGAAGCTATTAAAAACAGACCTGACTCAAGCCTCTTTCCTGCCCGTTCAATTTGTAAGTTCCTAACAAAATCGACCAGCTTTGGCTAATGCATGCAAGCGATCACGCCCTACTTGTTCTGGGGGAACTGACCACTTAATTTTTGATCAAATCTTTTCTCGCCATCACAAGCGCGATGGACTTTTGTTTCGTACACAGACTGAACGGTAAACTTGCAAACTGTTTCTCAGCAGTAGCTCTTCAGTGACTGAACCAAGCGTTTTCTAGCTTCAACATCACACCTCTATTTTTTTTTTAAATAGAAGAATAAAAGAGTTTTTAAGCGTTAATGTTTTATATTCAGGCTACAGCGGTCGCAATCTCAAAAACTTACCATGAAAACAAGAAAGCATCTCTGGACGATCCCGTGTCTCTTGGATGACTTTATTTTTAAGAATATACCTCAATCACACTCTCCAGAGAGAGAAAGACAATAAACCGCTAGCAAGCCAAGAAGCAGCCGCGCAAAATCATCCTGCGACTCTGCAAGAACATTCCCTCCAAGAGAGAGGGGGGAGAAGCGCCCGCGCTGGTCACCCCGAAAGCTGGTCCTGGTGTCTTACTTCTTCGCCGCCCCCACGCCCCGCCCCGCCCCTCGAAAGCTGGGAAACTGCGAGGAGAAGTTACGCGTCCAATCGCCGTGGGCGAGCCGCGTCGGTGTGCGGGGGGCGCGCGCGGGGGCCCTGGGCGTGTTAGACCCGGAGAGCAGCAGCCAGTCCCGGCCCGTCCTGTCCTCCGTCCGCTCCCGCGAGCTTCCTCGGCTCCGCGGGATCCACGCGTTGGCAGGAGACAATCGGGAGGCGAGCTGCCTCGACAGGAAACTCCCCGCTGTAAACTCTCTGCAGAAGGAAAAGTGGCCTCTGGGCAGCCTGCCCTTTGCAGCCCCGGCTGCCTGGCTGCTGTGCCTTCAAAGGCTCCAGTCGCTTTGCTTTGCTTTGGTCTCTTCTTTTCTTTTCTCTCCCCTCCCTCTTTCTCCTCGCCTGCCTGCCCAGCTAGCCAGTCACCCCTCCTCCTCCTCCTCCTCCACCTCTTTCATGACACAGACAGCCCAGATGGGAAGAGCCTGCAGTTGAAGCAAGTCCAGTGCCTCATCCTGAAAGCTGATCCCGCTGATCTCATCACCGAGGGCTACTAATCCAATGACTAGGGAATTAAGAACAGATGGGGACGCCCCTTCTCCCCGCCCCGCCACCCCAACATCGCCGTTTCGAAAGCGCACAGGAAAGCCAGCGCGAGCGCACGCACACGGCCCGCGTCCGCCGGCAGGCTGCGGGCGGGCAGCAGATGCGCTCTCCCCGTGGCACAGACTGAATTTCCTGTCTGTATACGGAGTTCTCTGGCCAGAGTTTACACAGGCAGGACAGCTGCAGTATTTAACCCCTTCTGCATCAACCGGTGCGCGGCCATTCGTGGAAGGTTACTTGGAATATTCTAAAACCAGCCAGAGGTTTAGCTTTGTGCCAGCCGAAGTTTAACGATATAGTTACAGCTTCAGAACGTTGCACCGAAGCATCCAGTTCTTTCCCAGCGATGGGACGCCTTCAGAGCCCACAGTACACTGTTTGTTTATATATACCTTTCTAACCCACCAATAGCTGACGCTCTGGCCAATATGCAAGGATGTAATGCTTTATGAAAAAGTGAAGGCAGCACGTTTTGCTCTTGGTGGTGATAAGGCGAATTCAACAAGTGCAATGGCTTATCTACATGTCTTTAATTTAGTTCTTGCCTTCCTTTTTTACAGTTTCAGGGATCTAAATTTCCTTTTTAAAAAGCTAGCGTACGTACATTGCAAAGCATGTCAGACTTTATCAGCATGTATAATTTTTCTAATATTGCAAAATGGCTTTTTCTTAAAAGAAAATGGGAGAAAATAATTCTTTCTGAACTTAAGTTATCTGTGTAATCAGAAAAAGGAACAAAGAACCTAAGAAGAATCCTGCTGGGACAGATCAAAGGCCCGTCTAGTCCAGCGTTCCATTCTCTGTGTCCAATGGATCACCATATACTGTTTGCACACAAAGATTCAAGTATTACCAGGTCTCCTGAAAAAAGAAACAATACAATTCAGGATATTTTTTACACATCCCACTGCTGTCTCCACAGATGGAGACCACACCAGCTGTCCACAGTTACGGGTGCCAGGCAGGTTTTGCTCACAGTGCATCATCTCCCACTCATATAGGAATGATGACCTTCCATATAGTTGTCTCTGCAACCTATCTAAGAAAGGGGAGGGATTTGAATATCCAAAAAGAATGGAAGGGCTATTGTGCTTTCTTTTCCCAATTAGCCATGCATCTGGCACAGGAAGCCAGTTTAGCCTTTGGCAAGGCAGCCCCAACCCATTTAGTATGGAACATTTAGTATTGAAAAAAGGCTATTTATATTGTTCATTACCCAGGAGGGCATAGGTTGGCTGCATGTGTGGAGAGAGAAGTGCCTCTAGCCCATGATGTTTATGCACCTCAGGCCACAGTCTGCCAGATATGTTTGCCATACATCTGCAAGAGGCCTTGTTGCCAAATGACACAGTCCCCTTTCTCAATCCACAGTTTTAGTGAATGTATGGGGTGGGTCATCTACAGAGGACTAATCATCACCGTATTGCTTTTTCAGTGCTTGCAAAAGCAGACAACATAATGTAAAGCAAGTAATAGTGGGTCATAATTATTCTGGTAAAGCTTAATCCTCATTTACTTCCATAGAATCTAAAGCAGTTTAGCACCCCATTGATCCTGACATTAAATGCAATTATTTAAATTGGAGTGATTCAGTCATTTATTTATTATATTTATATCCCACATTTAGTGAATTCCAGGCCCAGTCCTGGCCAGGCACTGACTAGATTCAAATATGCTAAGCTTCAGGACATTTGCTACATTATGTGTCTTTATCCGCATAGGCCTGAGAATTCTCCATGCAGATTGTATAGTATATAGCAGTGGTGGTGAACCTATGGCCCGCGTGCCACAGCAGGCACGCAGAGCCCTCTCTGTCGGCATGTGAGCCAAGTTGGCCCAGCATCGCCCCAGCAGCTGAGCACTGGATAACAGCATACGTAGGGGCCATGCACATGCTCGGAAAGGAGTAGTGGTGCCAGGGAATGAAGTCACTAGCTATGACTTACTAGCCATGACTCATCCAAGGTTTTGCATGGCCGGTCAGTTCACTGCCAAGTATATACATATATTTTCTTGGACTGGCTACGAGTTGTTTTTTCTAAACTAAAACCTCAGTTTTCAGGTTTTATGGCAGGTTTTTATTTGCTATAAATAACTGGGTTTTGGGTTGCAGTTTGGGCACTTAGTCTCCCAAAAGTTCACCATCACTGGGTTAGGGTTAGAAAAACATGCTGTCCTGGTATGATTTTGATGGTTGGAATGTGTTTAGAATGGGCAGAAATGAGGAGCAGTCCAGAAAAAGCTACTCAAGGAAGGCTTTTTCAAAATTGCATTATTTTCAATGGAACTTTAGCCCTATATTAGGGTTAGAGGAGTGCACCAAGGTAGGGTTAGGCCAGTGGTGGCGAACCTATGGCACATGTGCCACAGCGGGCACACAGAGTCCTATCTGTTGGCATGTGACCCAAGTCACCCCAGCATCGTCCCAGCAGCCAAGCATCGGATAGCAGCGCACATAGGAGCCATGCGCATGCTCAGAAAGGAGTAGTGGCCCCAGGTGATGACATCATGAGCTGCATCGCATTAGCCATGACTCATCTTAGCTTTCTCATGGCTGGTCTGTGCGCTGTTAAGGTTATATATATTTTTGCTTGGCCTGGCCATGAGTTGCTTTTTCTAAACAAAAACCTCAGTTTTCAGGTTTTATTGCCATGTTGGCACTTTGCGATGAATAAGTGGGTTTTGGAATGCAGTTTGGGCACTTGGTCTCTAAAAGGTTCAACCATCACTGGCATAGAGCATCTGGATAAGTTCATTGGGTCCACTGGATTTTGGCCTGTGTAGACTTTTTCGTGTGTAGAATGCCATACAGAGCAACGGAAATAATGCTACTAATAAAAATAATATATATTCATGGATTAAGAGAGAGAAAAGTACAAATTCAGTTCAATATTTATAAGTCATCACATTAAAAACCTACAGTATTCATGCTTCTTTGACTTTCCACATCTTATTTTGTTACAACCATGAAGTACAATGGATTGAACTGGCATTGTTACCACATGATGTACAGAAAGTACTTAACACTGTGAAGGTGTATTCCCTACCCCACACTTGGCAGAGGGGTTTATCCTCCTTGGTATGACATGCTTAAATAAACTGTAGGACAACTCACTGTCTCTGGAAGTTTCATATTGCACAGTAAGTAGTCAAATTGTACAGTTCCAGTGCCATATAATATCAGATTAAATACACCTGTTTCTGGAATACTCCAGCATTTGTTGGAGTACATATAAACAAAAAGCATCACAAAGACCCAGGAGTTATCAAACAATTCTAGGATAAATTTGTACAGGAACACCAGTCAGAATTATGAAAAAATCTCCTAAACTATGATCATCCTTCAGAGCACCATTAAATCATTGTTACAAAATGGAAAGAGTATGGTCAGTTGGACCTCTGACTAGAGAAGGCCATCCACTAAACCTCAGCGACTGGGTAAGGAGGATATTATTTAGAGGGGCAACAAAGACAGTAAATCTGAAGGAGCTGGAGCGATCTGCAATTGAGATGGTAGAAACTTGTTGCAACAACTTTCATCCTGAGCCTCCACAAAGCTGGACTTTATCAAAAGGTAGCTAGAAGAAAACCACTACTGAAACCAAACCATGCCAAAGCCTGTTTGCAAAATGGCATATGGGAGACATAGCAGGTTCTCTGTTCTGGTGAGACCAAAACAGAACTTTTTACCTTGCTTCAAAATGCTGTGTGTGGCACAAAGCCAGCAGTGTCCTAATAACATCATTTCTACATTGAAGTATGGTGGTGACAGCATCATATTGTGGGGATGCTGTTCCTTGGAAAGGACTGGGAAACTTGCTGGGGTTAAGGACAAGACAGGTGGAGCAATTCTTAAAATAATATTAATTAAAAAGTCTGTTTCAATCTGCAAAAGATAAAACTGGGATTGAGGTTTACCTTACAGCCCCTAAACACACAGCCAAAGTAATATTAAAGTAGTTTATATGCAGGAACCTGAATATCTTAGAATGGCCCAGTCAAAGACCAGACCACCATCCATTCAAAAATCTGTGGGAAGAGCTGAATCTTGCTGTTCACGAGCATTCCCCATCCTTCCTGATAGAGCTGGAGCAGTATTACCAGGAAGAATGGGCAAACACTAAAGAATCCAAATGTGGAACGCCAATAGAGATTTGCCCTAAAAGACTCACTGGTATAATTGCTTCCATAGTATTGACTTAGAGGGCTGAATACTTAGGCTAATTAAATGAATTTAGGTTCAGGTTGTAAAACCACAAACTGTGGAAAAGTCAAAGGGATTTGTGAATACTTCATATAGTATGTGAAGGCACTATATGATATTCTAGCTATATTTTGTTATACACAATGAAGGATGACTGTACTGCTTGTAAAAATGACTT